TCCATTTAATGCACTGAGTCCCCTGCTAATCTTGCAGCCTCGATGGAGATAGCGTCAGTGTGTTATTGCTCCGTCAGCTGCTTAAGCAGGCTCCTTTTAGCTCTGCACGACTCTTCCTTTTTTACACTTCACTTACAGAGATAAAAACTCTCCCAGTCTCACTGTTGTGACTGTGTGAGTAACTGGAGACATCTTTTATTTTAATGCACTCTTTGCATAAATAGAGTTTACAGTAGCCTACATGTGGAAGTATAACGAGGGTGTTCATACACGGTGTAAAGAAGGCGTGCAGCTTCTACAGATAAAAACAGTTTGCTCCACTGCTGCAGCTGAAGGCGTGCATTCTTTTCTCACACAGTTTGCAGATGAAGAAGAATGAACAGGACGGATGTATCACCATTTAATATTACAACAATGGATCCTTAAACGCTGATGTTCTGCACAGGGGCGTAGCCAGACATTTTTTGACTGGGGGGGGGGGGGGGGACTGAACTGGGCCACTGACTTCTGCAGAGGGGACCTTAAAGGTATACTTGACCCGTTGAAACATGAATCTGTATTGACATTGGGTCATATATGTAGTAGAAATGTGAAATACATTTTGAAGTTGGTGCCTTCTTGGCCGAGAAAAGACAGAAAGTGTCTTTTTGGCCAAAACACAAGACCGGCCTGTCGGCAGCAGCCGTCTCGCCGCTATATTTATATTTTTTCACCATTATCAGCTTTCTCCATAGAGCCTGTTAGCATAGCTTCCAAGCAATATGGCAGACGTTAAGTTTCGATTCTGGAAGTGAGTTCACACCCACTGATCTGTGATTGGTCTGTAGCATCAGTGGTCGAAAATATGAGGAACTAGCGCTGTAGTTTCACCCTGCTAACCGCAACAGCTTCCGATGGCGTAATATGACGATATTTGCGTCACTGGAAGCTCCTTTTCAGACTTAGAAATACAAAGATTTCCCATCTCAGGGGAAAATGAAGGCAGGATGCCCAACCATTCAAAATGGTCCACTGATAAAAAATGTTCTGCTAGATCTACTTTAAAAAAATAAGGCAACTTTTTGCATAATTTATTTATGTTGATCAAGCAAGATTGTTCTTTGTTTAAACTACTTACTTGTTTTTTTTACATGAAAAATAAAATCCAAGTAAAGTGAACTTAATTTTTTCAAGTACATTAAGAAAAACTAAACTTTGTATAAACTACTCACTTTTTCCGATATAGTAAATGAAATTTGCAAGTATAACCAACTTGATTTTATTATGTAGATCAAACAAAACTAGTCTTTGTATAAATTAATGTATTTAATGGCATTTTTAAGTCAAATCAACTTAATTATATCATGTACATCATGTACAAGCATGACTATTGTAGTATTTGGTGTTTTGAAATACCGAATAAAACACAGTATATATAATAAGATAATTTTTTGTTGTATGGATGAACTTAAAAAGATTGGCTCACATTACTTAAATTATTCGTGTTCTTAAAAAAATCACAATGTCTTGTATTTTGAACAAATGTTTTTGACTTAAATACTATATATATTTGTGTAAAGATACTAACTTGAATTTTTATTGTTGATTTCACAGATTCAATTAAGTTAAATTTACTTCTCCTCAGATTTATTTTTCTCAGTGTACCAGGTTTCTAATGATACAAAGCTTAATGCAAATGGGTGAAGTATCCCTTTAAGTGTTATGAATGCAAACAGTCACATGAAGAGAAACATTTATTAACCCTTTCTGTCTCCACAATAAACCGGAAACATTAACCCCCAATTCCCACATAGCCCGTGCACGCCGCGGGCCATCAGCGCTATGGTTTTGCTCCGTCTGACGACGCGCTCTCCTGCCCCACGAGATCCGTTTCTGGAGTGTGAGCGTGGCGGAGGGCAACCATGAGCAGCTGTACACACATGACAGGAGAAGATGTTCAGTTTGGAGAGAACAAAGAAATGGAACAACATTTAAAAGGCTCTTCAAAGACTTTTGGACAAATTGTCTCGACTCTCCTCGTTAATGTCCTTGCTCTCGTTATTCCTGTCTCATGGTCAACATCTGCCCGTCCTCTTGTGGTTTGACATCCATTAAGCTCCGCCTGCCTTCTGTGCGTACCTGCTCTTAGACAGGTCACAGATCTTTGATCATGTACGACCTGCAGGCAGAGATCGGAGGGCGAGGGGTTTGAACGACAGATTTGATCAAAGTGCACGTACACAAACACACACGCAGGAAGTCCTCATGGTTCATCACCGTGTTTGGAGAATTTTTTTTGACAGGTCCATCAGATGAAAGTCTCCAGAATCCTGCACTGAAGCCTCCCCACCTCCTCGCCTTCCTCCGCCGTAGGTGTGGTGGTGAGCTGCAGAGGAAGAAAGCTATGGTTTTGATTCCATTTCTTCTCTGGTTCACGTGGGCGCATTCCTCCTCTTGCCCAGCACGCCTCCCTCTGTCCCCGCGGTGAGGGGGCTGTTTGTTTTAGCAGGCAGGCTGCCTTATCACGTGAAGGATTCAGATCAGAGAGAGCGCCACACGTGAGTCCTAATTAAAAACACATCGCCACAGAGGGTGACGTGATGGACAGGAGGACGTCTCGTCAGATCCACGGCTCGGTGTGGCACAGATCTGGTCACCGTAGCGATGAGACGGAATGTATGCTCAGCGGTTGTCTGGCACCGGGACGGAGAGGCAGTGTGTGTGTGTGTGTGTGTGTGTGTGTGTGTGTGTGTGTGTGTGTGTGTGTGTGTGTGTGTGTGTGTGTGTGTGTGTGTGTGTGTGTGTGTGTGTGTGTGTGTGTGTGTGTGTGTGTGTGTGTGTGTGTGTGTGTGGCTGCAGATCTTTGAAAGACTGATGTGTGGAGAAGAAGCTTGCCACTTTTAAGACGACTCCCATATTTGACTCCCCACGACTTTTTAAAAATGTGACTGAAGACTGAGATCGCCACTGGACAGAAACGGGAATGTTTGGATTCATCAAAACTTACAGGTAAACACTGCACGCTCTTTAAAGTGCGTGTTCAAACAGGTGGGACATCTTAAACAGGAAGTGGCTACAAGCCTCCGAGCATACCTCACCATGAAGATCAGCTGCTTCCTCTTTGAGAACACATGAGTCAAGACTACAGTTCTACATGTTACACCTTTAATGAGAAAATCACTCTTAAGTAATGTGCTGTTTGGACCTCAGATGGTTTTTAATTCATTTTTGGGCTTTTTGTGCCTTTAATGGAGAGACAGGAAAGTGGATAGAGTTGGAAATCTGGGAGAGAGAGCGAGTGGGGAATGACATTTGGGAAGGGAGCCACAGGCTGGATTTGAACCTGGGCCGCCCGCTAGAGACGACACCCTCCATGCATGGGGAGCGCACACTAACCACTGCGCCACCAGTGCCCCAGTGCTTCATAGACTTTTTGACACCATTTTTTTTCTGGACCCCCCTTCATGAACCACTGTCCTAGTGGTTAGTGCTCGCACCCCTTGTACGGAGGCTTTGGTCCTCCAGGTGGACGTCCCAGGTTCAAATCCGACCTTTGGCTCTCTTCCCGCATTTCGTTCTCCCCCCTCTCTCTCTCTCTCTCTCTCTCTCTCTGATTTCTCTCTACACCGTCCTGTCTCTAAAATAAAAACATAAATTAAATTAAATAAAAATGTTCAAAGAGTAACGTCTGACATCACAGACTGAGATTTTACAAAGACTGAGGATCTTCAAGGTCACTGACTGCAGGACTACGCCTAGATTCATCCAGAGATTATTTCCCATCATGCACCTGGTGTAAATGTATTACTCCACCTTATGAACAGAAAGCTGAGGTGGAGGAGAGAGAGGTGGAGCTGTGGAGAGAGTAAGAATGAAGACGATCAAACTCGACCATTTAGAGGAAGTCAAAGTGGTGACAAGGTTTGGAGCTGCAGGAGGATGGTCACATCGGGGGTCTCCAGAGTCGTGGTCATTTCTGTCCCCCTCCTCTCTCTCGTGGTACAAAGAGGAGGACGCGTCTCCTCCAGGTTCTCCTCATTTTCCACCATCCAGGAGAGCAACACGTTCCTAACCTCCTCGCCATGTTTACTAGTTTACAGCTTCCTGTTTGGTGGTGGAGAGGCCACTCCTATTGGTTGTTGACAATGGTGATGCCATTGAACGCTACAGTTTGAAGAAGACCAGACTAAAGAGCTGTGATGATATCAAACATGTAGCAGGATGATTTAAAGATCTTATGGGGCTCAACAGTGTAGCTCCTGAAGTTAAAAAATCCTGTTCATTTTCTCCATAGCTGATTTGATTATTATCCATGATGTCATAACCATCACAGGTAGACTGACCACGAGCTACCTGATTGTGAGACAATGGTTTATGCTCCTGTAGGAGACACAAGTTCATCTAATATCAACCTCGATTTAATAACACGGTTTATTCCTCTTTTTACGTCTCTGATTGGTGGAACTCGCCGTTACCATGGCAATGTTTCCTGCCCGTCAGCCGGCTAGCTAGTTTGTTAACTAACGTGAAGTGTACTAATTACATTGTTATTCCACATTGAATGTAATTTATATATTCACAAACACTACAGGATATTAAAACACATTGTATCAAACACGATAACAACTACAAAAGTTACAATAAGATGAAGAGGGATCATTCGCAATGCATTGTGGGATATGTAGTTCCGTGACTCCGGGTGAAAATGAAGAACAGTCTTGTAACCTTGTGCCTTGTTCTCCGTTTATTAACGCCGTTTTGCAGCCGAATCAAATGTTTTTTAGTCACAAATATTTGGGTAGCTGGTTGTCATGGTAACAGGCTTCAATCTGTTGATATAATGGTTTTATGAACTGTTAACAGAGCCAGATTCACCGAAAAAGTTGACGGTCACTGTTGAGCTCTATTTGATTGTTTTCTGAAAGTTCACTTCATGCTGATCAAACTTGTCTCTCTCTCTCTCCCTCTCTCTCTCTCTCTCCCTCTCTCTCCCCATCTCTCTCTCACCCCCCCCCTTGCAGGTATCCCTAATAACATTGGTCCAGTTAGTAAGTAAACAGTCGCTGTACTCTATGACCGCTCGATGCTTTGCTTTGCCTTCTGTGCCACCTTCACCACACGACCCCTGACCTCCAGGCCAACTGTTCATTTCTGATTCCAGTCTTCATTTGGGGGAACAATAAACTGTGTACACTAACATCCATTCTTGTTGGGTGGGAGTAGATAAATAATACCTGGGGGCTATATGGTATTAATTCATCCAGCCTCTCCCGGCGCTGCATGCAGACTCTCGTTTGTTTCCCCCTCCTCTCTCCCATGCATTATAAATAAATGGCATCCAGACTTTATTAAAGTGCCAGCACCTCTCTGGCTGGGTAAAGTCACAGGAGGTCATTTTAATATGAGCCATGAGCACCTCAGCCAGTATTATCTTCCTCAACCAGTAGCCCCCGAAGAGGAGGAGGAGGAAGACGAGAGGTGCCACGGCTCGGGTTACGGCTGCCTGGAAGGCGGCGTGATGCAGCCACTGAAGGACTGTATTGAACAAGTCAAAGTGCATCCACAGCCTCAAAGCTCTGTTCTCACTGAGCATCCTTTGTTCCCGAGCCGAGCATTGATTAGCAGAGCGTCCCCTCCCTGTCTGACTTAAACACACCGGCTGAGGGTTTACGACTAAGACAAGAAGTCCTCGATGAATCCGCCTGACCCGTTCAATAATGACTAATAACTTTATCTTTGTTAAAGTACAAGAAGCCTTCAGCCGTGTGAGAGGCTTTCATTAGGAGCAGACGTCGCCATCGTAACCTCGTCTATTGGTTTATGAAACTTTATTTAAACAGCAATAATTGCATTTTGGAGTCCACCACCTTCTTTTGACGTGACGGTGGTGACGTCTGTATTTAGTCGATGAAAGACGAGCTCGCTGTTTCCCTCTGTGGACTAAGTCTTCACATTTACCTCTTAGCAGAAAAGATTGGTTATAAGTGAAGATTGTTTTTACAATTTAAGCGGAATATTGTAACTGAGCCGGCCTACACACACACACACACACACACACACACACACACACACACACACACACACACACACACACACACACACACACACACACACACACACACACACACACACACTTATCCTGTCCTTCATCGTTTAAAGACTAAGACGATGAGCGGGCAGGTCTCCAGCTCTCCGCTGTGACAGACACAGATTGTTCCCAGGTGGTTTTTAATCAGCTTTAGGCTGCGAGCTCACACGGCCGGGGAACACTGGTCGTAAAGTCTGATGTCATGAGTCAGAAATGGACAAGTGGCCAAGAAAACCAAACCCCCCCTTCCCTCCCTCCTCCTCACACCTGAGAGGTGATGCTTCCTCTTCATGCACGGCCTGACGGGCATGTGTATGTGTGTGTGTGTGTGTGTGTGTGTGTGTGTGTGTGTGTGTGCATGCCCCTCATACACACATATTCACATCATGGTAATGCCAGACCTCACCATGTCCAAAGCTGTCCTCAAATCCTGCACGAGAGTGTGTGCATGCTGATAAATGTGTGTGTGAGTGTGTGTGTGGTGTAGAGAGGACACTCTGACAAACCAAAGTCTTCACTCCTCATCCAGATCAGCCCACAGGGATTTAGAGTCCTCATGAGTGTGTGTCCCGGCATACAGCGAGGAGGAGGACGTTTTCAGAGCAAACACAGGCGGCTTTAACGAGTGTGAGATTAATAAAGGCAGAGTGGAGTGGACAAATAAAGAGGTGACCACGTCCTTCAGGTTGTTAGACGGACACAAACAAAGCTCTCCACTTCTCATGTTGTTGTTTGAAGGTAATTGAATCCCGTATTGACTTTTCTCAATTCTATTCTATTCTAAGTTTATTAAGCTGGGCAGAATCGCCTAATGCGCACCATTAAAGTGAAATTAATATTTTAAAAAACAATTCTGGCTCCGCGAGATTGCATTTCATTACGGCTATGGCATTGATTAAAATCCATCACCACTCGTTTCACTCGCTCCACCTGAATATTCTCCTCAACAGGATAATGAATGGAGCCCAGATGTGTGTTACATCCAATCAGTTAGCAACACAGAATGATTAAAAAGGACTCACTTTACCAATTAGGCGTTATAGATCAAGACAGAGCGCCTTCATCACGTCAGCTAAACTCTGAGAGCGTCAACGTCCAACGGAGACAAAAGGATAAAAGCACACCAGGCTCCTGTCGATTTATCAGATTTACGACCTGAGTTTGTGTGCGGATGTCGCCCTTTTTCTTTAAGCTCTTTATTTGTTAATCTGTCGTTTTTCAAAGAGTGACTCCTGAGACTTCAGCTCGGTGGCGATGTCGTCAACGGAGCCAGAATCCCTCAGCGGGAGATGATGTGAAACGAGCAGATAAGAGTATGAAAGAGCAGGATCGTCTTTTTGTTCCAGCTCTTTTCTACGCCTGCCGATGTTTAAGTGAAGACTCAGGCTCACAGCTAAGAGGCAGGATTTGATTCCAGAGCAGGAAAAGGACAGACTCAGGATCCAGTTGTCTTATCCGCACACTCAGTTAGTGTGAGAGGCCTCCTGCCGACACGCCACCGGACATTCATTATGTGAGATTGCATCATTCATGGAGTCGATAGCCGGAGGACGGAGAGATCAAGTGAAGAGGCCGAGAGGGCACGATGAGGAAACGTATCCGTATTCCTCCCCTCGCTCGAGTCCTCTCATTTGTAGGCCGCAGCGCATTTCCCTGACACGGAAATACTGACTTGTATGTAATTATGAGGTTATGCTACCCGCAGCAGTCCGTCATTCCCAGTCCCAACACCTGCCATTATTTATTCATTGTTATTCTCCCAGCAGAAACACACTGTAATGAGATATCGATTACTCAGTCCATCTGATGAATTCAACAAAATGCGCCCCGAACTTCTTAATTTGTTATGCCGCTCGCTCGCATTAATCACGACTTAAACACAGAGTTTCACAGGGTTTTATCTTTTTTTCTTCAGTTTGTCACTCATCATTGCCATCGCCATGAACACACACACACACACACACACACACACATACGAGCCCATGGAAGTCGCACAGTGACGCTCGACGTCTCTCCGATGGGCCTGTGGATGCATCAGCCCTGCCCCATTGTATTTGTTTCCTGATTTACAGATTCGAGTCATGCTGGACATGTCCGTGTCTCCAGTTATGTGTGTGTGTGTCCACCACCACCACCACCACCACGTAGTCCCCCTTCCCCCTCCCCCACCTCTATAGACCTCTTATGTGAAGTGCATCACACCAGTGCACATGAATACATGAATAACTCCTGGTTTCTCTCAATTGCACGCAGTTCGGCCGAATGTCTCATCGCTAGGTGTCGCTAACCGAAAAGAAGGTAGGCAACTGTAAGAACATGCAACAACTGTTTATTCCACATTTTCCCAGGTGAAAGGAGAGCACAAACAGAAACAAGAGGCTCCGGTAGCTGAAAGTATTTGTTGGGTAATTCTTCCCCTTCACCCTTCTTTGGCTATTCTCCTCACAGAACAAAACAATCTGCAGCTCATAAGACAGGCTTCTGGCTCCTTCAGTGTCTTCACAGGGCACACATGTTACAGCATGTTGATGAATGGATTATCCTCTCCAACACTTAATCTGAGCACTATACATTTATATATACACATTTAATTATGTGCAGATCTTCCAGGGATCCTCCATCCCATCTTAAGGCAGCCGAGGTTTCATGCTGTTTTTTTATGCAGATGGATGTTAGCCTCGTCTCAGATTAATCCATGCTGCACACATGCAGAAACAACAAGTGTTTCCATGACTGCAGCCGAGTGCACACAGTGTATGTGTCGGGGGCTTATGTGGCCCAGCACAATGGCCGAGGCTGGGCCTATTATTCCTTCTTCACACTGTTTGTTTTATGAGCGGAGAAGAAGGGAGGGATTGATGTGATCAGTGCGAGCCAGCTCCTTACCCACGCTCCTCTGCACACATTGAGAAGGTGGAAATCATTGGCTGGCCTCGGCTGAGCTGGAGAGCAGTTTGTCAGGGGATAGTTTGTGTCTGGGGAAACATACACACACGCTCTGAGTTACACTAAGCACTTGTTAATGAAATGAGGCATAAAAGAGGGACCATAATATTAGGCTTGTTCGCCATCTAAGGCGTGTGTAACAGATGCTGCTACAGGCAGCCAGCTCCACTTGGCAATGTCACTCTTTATTTCCCAAAGCCATCCTTCATCATTCTGTTTCTTTTTCTTACTGTTACGTTTAGGATTCGGCATGATGCGCAGTGATTCTCTGACATTACATGTTCTCTGGTTTAATTGATAAATCATGTTTTTTTCTTTTTCTTTTGTTTCTTCTTTAATTTGTTTAGTAGCTCCTCAGGTTGCGTTGTCCACTGCCCCCTCTGTCCACGTTGCAAACAGCAAGCGAGGTAGGAGCTCTGGATTCATACATTGACACCCCCCCTCCCCCCACCTAGACAACCCCCCCCAGCCTTCTCTCTGTCTGAACTGATGTATCTGTTTAGCTGTTAGCCCCCGTGACCCTGCACCACTAACCTGATGTCAGAGCACTGTGTGCAGCTCAGTGCTCCACCTTCACTCGTCTCTGAAGCCTTTTACACACTAAAAGTCCCCCAATCCTTTCTTCCTCAGTCAAAATAAAGCGGTTGCATGAGACTGTGACTATTTTTGGGGGGACATGTTTCCAAGTGGAGACTTTTTTTATTCCCCGTGCGTGCATGATTTATGACCTTAGCCTATTTCTGAAGCGCAGAGATGATTTGTCTTCTGAGAGTACGTCTGCCAGAGTGAGGCGTAATGTGGACGGTCGCACTCGCACACCGACCAGATTTTCTGCTTTAGGTGAGAGGTAGAGTGGACTACACTCGCTGCTCCTTCCTTGGCAGACAGAGAGACCTGCCCTCAATATGGATCCTTAATAACCATAATCCCTCTGACCAAAGCCCTGTCCTTATTCTCCATCCATTAGCCAGCAAGGCTTAAGGGTCATATCTGTCCGCGCTGCAACACACCATGTCAGCGGTCACTCGGTCTGGCACACTGATCCTTACTCAGGGCGCAGAGCTGCCCCCCCCCCCCCCCAGGCCAGAGCTGCCAGAGAGTATCATAAACTGCAGCGTGAGCTTCTTCAGTTCATCTACAACTCCATATCTCTAATTTAGCATGACATTACAGCGCGTAGCAGGCAGGGACTCACTCTCTCTGAACTACAACTCACAGTGCACTCCACCGCTCCCACAACACACACGGGAGCTGTGTTAGAAGGATTCTTTCAAAATCAACCGTCCGCACACTTCAGAGGTATTTGTTGGAGGACTTTGGGCTCGTGCAGCCATAGAAGTTGTCATTTTGCATTTTTTGATCTGGCACTCCATTCAAAGTTTCATCCATGCACAGATAAATCAGACAACAGTTCACTCCCATCTCCTGAGTGAAAGCTCCACCTCGTCCATGGTTTGACCTGCTTCACTGCTGTGGTGTGTTTCCGATGTGGCCGTGTCTCTGTGCCTTCATGTGGAGTCTTCCTCGCATCATGTTGTGGTGTGTTTGACGTGATGTGACCTCTTCCAGTCGTACTAACGCCGTGCTTTATTTATGTGATGTCTTTTTCCTAACTCTGGCTGTGTCCATGCCAGACTACTCATGAGTGACCCCCCCCAACCACCATCCTCCTCCTTCATAAAGCAGTCTCCAGTTTTAACCCTGCATGCCATCGCGCCTCGCTTAAATACCTGCTAACTTCTCCGTCACAGCAAATACTGCAACGATTTCAACAGTCCCCACCGCGTCTCTCTTTCCTCCTCTCCTTCCCCTCTTTTCCTCTCCTTCCCTTCTTTTCCTCTCTTTCCTTCACACTTCCCCTCTTTTTGCAAGACTGCGAATGCTTCGGCCACTCCAACCGATGCAGCTACATCGAGCTGCTAAACACCGTCATTTGCGTGAGCTGTAAGCACAACACTAGGGGGCAGCACTGCCAGCTATGCAAGCTGGGCTTCTACCGAAATGCCTCTGCAGAACTGGACGATGAAAATGTTTGCATAGGTTAGTCCCCCCACCACCACCACCTGGCCCCCTTTCACTGCCACCCTGCTTTCACACAAACACTTTCCTTGCCTCATCTCCTGTCTGTGACTTGTCACCATAAGAAAGTGTCATCACTCCATCATCATCATACACCCTCCATGTTTTTAAGTGGTCTCCATAACGTCCTCCTTTTTGCTTCTTCTGCTTTAGCACCACGATCTCTCTGTACTGTCAGGTGTTTTACACTGAGGAACTTATCTACAGTCAGATACATCGCAGTGATGCACAAAGCTGGCTACACACGAGACGATTTGAAAATCTGAACCATTTTTAAGAAACGTGGGACACCACAGACATTAAGAAAGTCACAACCGAAAGACGATTTGGCCAGAGAGACCACACACCTGCTGTTTGTAGAAACATCTCCACAGACACAAGATCTCACAGAAATGCACGTGATAAAACATGACTTCAGAAGAAAAACAAACATGGGGGACAATGGGTGTGGTCAGCTGGCAGTCCTGGCTTGGGTACTGTTTTAGGCGAGTTTTAGACACTTTGCAGCATGATGCTTCCTGGTTGGCTCGCTCTCATTGGTTGTTTGAGGCAGCTCAATCTGGACTCACAAATATCAAACATGTCTTTGTGATTCCAGATCAGGGAGGCTCCAACTCGATCAGGAGCAGTGAAATAATCGTAGTGACACCAAACACTCAAGGATTATTTGGACATATAATCAGTTGCGGCAAGCCTCGCCACGCCCCCATACCGCCCCCCCCCCCCCCAGGAGGCAAATCGAGCTTTAAACAGTCTAGTGTGTAGCCAGCTTACAGGACTTTTAGCTTCATGTTTTAATTGTCTTGAATATGAGACTGTTTCAGAGTGGATAAAGTATGATGACTTGTTGCTTTAAAGTATTTTACAGCAGGTTTGAGATTGAAGCTGTATATTTCAGTTGTCTTTTTTAACTTCTTTTATAGTTCTTATCATTTTCATGTTGATAATTTCTTCTAATCTACAAGCTCATATAGATGTGATGTGTTACAGTTAGCTTCTTGTTGCTAGCTTATAATGCGTTACAGCTGGTTCCTAGCTGCTAGCTTGTAGTGCTTGATGTAGTGAATATGTTTCTCAGTGTAGCTGAAGTTGAAAACTACATTTGTATTTTTAGTAGTTTGCACTAACAGCTAGCTTTTTTACTTTTTGATGCACAATGTTAAAGTTGTTTTTTAGCTGCTAGCTCCTCCTGTTCTATTTTCTTTTTATGGATGTGGTCTGAAATCGTTGGCTTCCTGATTTATTGAGCTACACTTGAATATTGATGGTTGTGGATCAGTCTGTGTTCACACTTCGCCTACTTGTCGTTACACAGCAGGTCCCGTTAGCATGATAAGCTAGGCTAGCTAAGCAACAGCTGCAACCCTGAGATTGATTGACACATGATCAGACCAATCAGAGTTTTAGCTTTGACTCGCGGTGCATTAGTGATGTTTTTCTATTGGTTAAAACAGCAGCAGCCATGGCAACGACACTGATTGACATATTTACAGACAAATCAGTGTTGTCAGCATGGTGTGTTGTTTGGGTTTGATTAAACTGGGACAGGGTGTGTTTCAATACGGGACATGTTAGTGTTTTTTAGATATGTGGGGACTCGGGACTCGGAGCTTGAAAACGGGACGGTTTCGTAAAGCTAACAGTCAGACGAAGAATTTGATGCCACTTTCATTAATTCCACCAGGTGGTTAGTTTAGCTTAGCTTAGCATCTGACAAGGAAAAGTGTGAGCACCAGGAGAAGTAGAGCTCATTTACTGCAAATCCTCCAATAATAACCAGTAGTCAATTATGAAGCCTGACCTTTTATAACGGCCAGGGTCGTGGCCCCGCATGAGCACATAAGGGCCGGCCCCTTTAACAATCAATTTAATCAATTGTTAACTTGAAGATGCTAATTTATGACATGGCTAATTTACATGTGTTTCCATTTTAAAGAGGTTGGGCCTGAAATCGTGGAGTGTGTAGGCATCCTCAGCCTTGTGTACTCTCAGCTCCACAGCCATAGACGGACGTGTTAGCTGTTAGAAAAGACGTCTCAGGCACAATGCAGGAGAGTTGCTAGCTTTGTATTTTTACACAGTTAGACATGTAATATTAAAGATAAAGTTTCAGAGTGCTAAATGTTGCAAACCTTTTATACGCTAACACGCCGTTTCCATCTGGTGTCTTTGTCGTTTTGTGTATGACCTTTACGCAGACATTCATACACGGCATCATCTGTTTCATACGAGTCCAAATGTGTGAAAATGGCATTTCTCTTGTACCTAGGGCAGTGGTCCTGTTCTCTGATAGGTTTTTAAGTGAGCCTGTGGAGTGTGCGTTCACATACTCAGTGGCAGGTGTGTTTGTGCGTCCTGAGGGGCGAGTCTGACAGGAAACAAGACTTCTGAGAGAAATGTCACAGCGAAGTCACACCGGCAGTCACAAGGCGCCACACCAGTGCATATGTCACATCCATGAGTTGGCCTCAGGAGGAGCAGCTGAAAACCGTCACAGAGGCGTCACCTCCCCCCACAACCCCCACTGCCCCCAGTCACCCTGACGACCCCCCCCCCGTTTGTCACTAGCCGTCAACTCCGGCCTCGTGCCTGACCTGCAAACATCGGTGGAGCGCAGCCGCGTAGCAGCAGAAGGTGCAATGTGTGATGGTCAGAGCTGTCAAAGTCGGTGTCACTCGGACTGCAGAGCGCTCAAGTCGCTGTGGAAACCTGGAAGGTCGGCTGAGCATAGGACACAAGAGATTCAACGGGTTGTTTTATATCAGACAGGTTTCTTTTTAAGGATGTTGCAGGTGTAAGTGTGGCGTCTGTTAAAGATAAAGGTCTGCAAAGAGGAAAGAATAAGTTGAGATATTTACATGATTGAGAAATGAGAGAATATTAAAGAACATATTACTACGATGCCCATTTCAATGTGCCGCACTGTCATCCGTCTGAAACCTTCCCATGCGCTCTGATTCATCACATCTGCAGCTGTCTCCTCTCCGCTTCTTCTTCTTCTTCTGTCTCTCTGTGTGAGTGAATCACATATGAATTAGTGCAGCATGTGAAGATTAGCCCACTTTGTTCATCTTAAATCAAAGCTACTGATAATGCTTTGCATATTTGCTCACTGCACGTTGTTGAAGAGTAAGCTAAATGTTCTGATAATTACAAATATGCTGTAACGATGACATGCATCTATTATCAGCTTCATTCTGTCTCACTCTGTCTCCATTACAGTTGAAATGGTAGCATTCTGTTCTGTGAGTCTTTGAATATGGTCACATTGTTGACGAGCTGGAGGAATGTGGAGATCAGAGGAGTCAAAGTGCCGCCCTGTTTCCAGCCTGTGTGTGTATGTGTGTCTTGTTTTTGCAGAGTGTAATTGTAATCCCTTTGGCTCAGTCAGTGATCGCTGTAATGGCACAGGATTTTGTATATGTAAGGAGGGCACTACAGGGCCCAAGTGTCAGGAGTGTCTACCCGGATATTTGTGGGACGATGGCTGCAAATGTAAGTAAAAACCACGACCCCCCCCCCCCTCGCAGCTCCCGACTTCCTTCCTCCTCTCTCTCACTCTCCTTGTTGTCTCCTCTCTCTCTCTCACTCTCCTTGTTGTCTCCCCTCTCTCTCTCTCTCTCTCTCTCTCTCTCTCTCTCTCTCTCTCTCTCTCTCTCTCTCCTTGTTGTCTCCTCTCTCTCTCTCTCTCTCTCTCTGTTTGAATCCTGAGCTTTGGCTGGAAGAATGTGCTGCACATGTGCCCAGCTGCCTTTACAAACACATAACAGGAGCTAACACACAAGGCCAGCCCGACCCGCGCCCCACTCTCACTGTGCCTGCGTTGAGAATTTACCCTCAGCGGGCGTCCTCCAGCTCAGATAGAGAGGAATCAGAGGCATGGCAGGATGCATGCTGCTCGCTAACTCGGTTATCCAGCCATGTCGCACACCAACAGAAAACCACAGCTGAGTCAATATTGACTGCTTGACAGGCTGCCTGTGATCTGTTTGAGTAGCCATCGCCCCCTCGCTGCTCCACAGCAGGACTAAGTCATCCAACGCTAACATTTTCCAACACAGAATGCAGGTCATTTTCAGTTCCAGGTCATTTCTTAGCGTCCTCTGTTTGTATCCCCCTCTGCTATTCTAACAAAGCATGCCCTGTGTACTCGCTTTGTTTCAAATGTCACCAACTTTTCATCTTTTGTTTCCAGTCAAACTTCAGGAGGCGGCCGTGAGAAAGCTAAGCCCTTTAGAAGAAGGACTCTGTGCTGCCTTACTTAATGTTTCCTCTTGTGCACAGACTGAACTAATAGGACAGAATATAATCACAGCTAATTGGATGATTGAATCACTCTAGTGACCATCTCGGTTTCACTGACTGTAAACATGCAACACGTTCTCACCTCCAGCTCGTCAAACAGCGCCGCTGAAGGAAGAGGTATTCTCGCTTTTAGCTACACGCACGCATCATGGCTGCCACACATTCCCTGCGTCTGTCTGGAGCGCTGGCTGTGCACAACCTGAAAGAATTAGCTCCACACAGACCCAAACTGCAGTATGCACATGACCAGTAGGGGGCAGTGTAGAGTGACAGAACATTTTAGTCGAGTCTGTAATGATCCACGTCTGCACGATGAGTCAAACATGTCCGTAAGAACATCTGGGACGGATCAGTTCTGTCGCCGTGGAAACAAGAAAAACTAAATGGAGACAAGAGTTCAGCGAGCGACCCGGTAAACTGGTGACTGGTGACACGTTAAATACACATCTGATGAGGATATGTTGACGATATAATGACTAAACAAAGAGACATCAGAGAGGACATCTAAAGGCGCATTCAGCCAAAAGTCACCAGATAACACGGTCACTATTTCAACTTGAACACCTGGACCGCTACATCCCTGCACAGAGGAACATGTTGTAGAAACAGAGCACAGACGGTTTGTTCAGTCATCAGTCTGATCTGATCTATTGATTATTGATGTTTAATTTATGATAGTATAGTATGATCACAGTGACAGTTTACATCTCACACATCAGTTACAAACAGCCTGAACTCTCTGGTGCCCTCTAGAGGCATCCTCCAGGAACACATGCTGCTCCTAGCCAAGTTATGTAAACATTTACTATTTGAACCCGTATGCGCATGCAGTCACGCTCCACAGGTGCGTCTCTGTGTCTCTGTCACTGCGACTGTTTCAAAAGGCGATGAGGGACGTTTGAGGAGAAATGGTCATACCAGATCTATAAAGTGTTACCCCACCGTAAGGCAGCCCTATGGGACTAACAACAATCCACACATTGACCCATTAAAAGACACTAAACACCTTTACAAAAGTCAAAACAAAGGGATTTATTACAGTTACTTCAACTTAATGATAACACAGATCAAATTAGAAAGTAACTTAACAAAAGACAACAGACTGAGAGGCACAGCAGTCTCAACTGCAAATGCCTCTTCCAAAATGCCTCTCTTTCTGCAGCCAGCACTGGCCTTTTAAGCACTAAGGCCAGGTGTACCTCGTTGTGCAAATAGTAGCTTCACCTGGGCTGGAGAACAGAAAGGGAGAAGGGACAAACAGTACAGGGAAACACACAGCCGTAACAAGAGCATCCTGATGGAATAAAGTTCATCAGCTGTCAGTCTGCAAAATGTCCACTTTGCAAACCTGCAGCAGCCCATGCAGACTCTGAAATAATACTGAACCACATGAAGACTTTGAATAATCTGTTTATTGCAGAGACTCCTGACACAGGTGGAAGTTTATTAAAAAGCTGTTTTGATGAAAATATTCAGTGTGTGTGCAGTGTGAACACACAGAGTCAGAGTGTGTCGACTCAAAGAGCTGAAGGCCGATATGTCAGCTTTTAATGAATGCACACAAACGGTGGGATAAAGGCTGAGCACGTGTTAGCACACTGAACGTGTAAAAAAAGCGTGAAAATAAGTCAAACAGACGGACGCCACCAGATGAAAGATGAAATTTAAATCTGAGGAGAGAACAACAAAAGTTATGTCTGTTCTCAAACTTTACGTTTTTTTCTGCTCAGCTTTATTATAATTTAGTAAAATATATAAAAGTTCAGTATGGTTTAGTGGCCATGTTTGGTGACGCCTCCCGGTCTGCTGGCTCTCATTGGCTGCTGCAGTTATTCCATTGGAGGAATCAGTGAGACTCTGACTTGATTGGGAGTAAAATTATCACGTTGACACCAAGCCGAGGATTATTTAGACATTTAGAGTGCATTTGGCGGCACTAAATGTTCTCCACAGACAGATTAAAGTGGGAAACCCCTGAAATAACACTGCGCCTGCAGAGCTCCTTACGCTGACTTTATTTCTCAACTGGAATAGTTTCCAAACTTGTCTTGACCTTCTCTTGCCGTCACGCCGCTGCAGTGTTTATGCGTACGGTCCAGACTCCATCTGCATGCAGACTGAAGAATGCAATTAAAAGTCAAATCTCTCGTCAAACACATCACAGTCCCCGACAGGCACACCTAGTTCATCACTCGCTCTCTAAATATTATCACTCATATCAAAAGCAAATGCTACAAATCTGCTCATCGGCTGCCCGTGCTGCCGGCTCTGTTTACCTGCAGAGAGAGAGACGAAGGTGTGCAGAATAATTCATCGCTCCACAAATTACTTCCAGGCTTCAGACTTTGCTCGTGTTGAACGTGATAAATACAACGGCGAGATGTTACATTTGTTTTTTGTTACAGCTCGCTGCTAGAAAAAGGACCAAACAATGATCAGCTCATTACCCATAATGCCCTGCTGTTCACTTTTTGTGCCCTCAGGTTTTTCTCCTCTCTTCACAGCACCTTTAATCTCACTGACCCTGTTGTGTATATTTAACAGCCTGTTATTGATGTCTCTTTTTCAAATCGATATCTCTGTTTCATTTTGGACATTAGCATCACTTTAATTGGCAGCCAATGAGGCGCTGAGCCTGCAGGGGTCCGCCATTACACCTGAACTCGCCTTTGAAGTCAGCTCATCTCGTTATTCAGTGACGAGCATCGTGCAGCATTCATTTCTAAAGAAGAACAAACACGAGACACGTCAGGCTAGAAGAGCTGCTTGTCTTGATTAACTCCGCCTCTCTGTGAACATTCTTGTGCCGCCGGAAGCGACCATGTTTGGACAAAGCTCCACCCTCTTTGTCCAAATATGGTTGCTTCCAGAAGGGTGGCATGGGCCCCCCTAGATATCTGATTGGTCACCCCGGAATCCTAAACTATGATTGGCTTTTTATCCTGTCAGAGGCGGGACTTATGTAAAAACCAACTATTAGGTCTTTATTATTACAAAAGGAAAGTAATGCACTCTGTATTCCTCTCAAGGAACTAACGGGCATTGTACCAAAATGTTGCTAGTTCATGTTTTTCTGCTTGCTGAGTGTGCAGGAGTTCGCATGCACATAATTCATTTAAAATGAGACGTTGAACATAAAACCAACATTAAGCTAATTATCTAGTGTTATCAAGTAGAAATAGTTGAGGTAAGGGTCAATCATCTATATTTATTTATGTGTGTTTGTGCACGTATCACAAGTCTGGCCTCGCCCCTCAGCTAACACGAGAACGATTGTGTGTTGGGACGATGAGGTGGTCGTTACTCCGAGTGACCCTGAACTACACAGAGAGAATATTTAGAGGAAACGACTGGGAGTCATGACACTCCACATTTTCACAAACAGAACTCAGTCGGCCATTGTTGTTGTAGTCCATCTGCTCGCTTATGGCTGTTGACGGTAAGCGTACTGAGCATGTGTATACAGTCTCTGTTTCCAGTCAACACGACGACACACACACACCAAACGCACAAAAAGGTCAGCGTTACCGTCATGGTGGAAATGTCTCATTAGGGTGCCGTCCTTGAACTCCAGCCTGTTGCTCATGGTCAACTCTGTGCAGGTTTTGGGATGACGATATTTTTTTTTTAGCTCAGAAAGAAGACTGAGAAATATTCACTTTGTTTTATTTGATCATGAAAGCAGCACGGATCAGACTGCGGAGATCAAAGGTCATCGTCTAATTAAAGACGCCTCGCCATGTTCTGATCATATCAAAGCCTCTCAGTGAACAACACCATCTGTAATTAACACACCTGGCTGTCTTACTTGGGGCCTGAAGCAGGATTTAAAGAACCATTCGGCCGACATTAAGAGACGAAGCACAAATAAGATCTGCGGCGTGGAAGCTTCTGAAGCGGCCTCCATCAGCCGCTCCTCTGAGACGGCGTGCATGCAGCCCCGAGTATGAGGCGAGCGCCTGATGTGTGTTATTGTGATATTTATGTCGCTCAGACTTCATAGATTGCTCACCACATTGTTTTCAGCTCCTGTAAAGAGCTGAGGGGGGCAGAAGTGGCCTCCGTGTTTATCATTGTTTATTTGTCTCTGTTGGTTTATTAGCTCGAGCCGCGCTGCTCTGTTTGCCTCCAGCTCGCCTGACAGCTCGCTCCATGGGGAATAGAGCGGCCTCGCCGTCCCCAGCTCTAAATATACTCCAATTTTCACCTGACGCTCCGTTTGTGCAGAAGGCAGAGCTGTACGCCGGGAGGAAGTCACCGAGCTCACTATTCACCTCTCCTCGTAAAGTTCAGCTGCATGTTTTTAATAATCAGCTGTGTTCTTGATGAGTCGAGGGAGAATCGTGCAGATAAAAGAAAGGGGTGAAGGTTTGTCATGACAGAGGAGCGGTTTTTAAAATGCTCATTAACATCTTTAAGGAACACGTTAATGATTCAATATCTGATATCAAAAAGACAGAAATCAAATGTTTACACAGACTGACAGGAAGCATCCATCAGACTCTCAGTGAAGGATTTCTGTCATGTCAGGTCCACCTTTGTTTCTTTTTTCATCCTCTTAAAGTCTCAAAGTTCTGCTGCATGATTTATCATAAAGACGTTTATCTGGAGCAATGGAGGGAAAATCTGCACATAAACAAACACACAGGTGGTTACATTAGGAGTGTTAATAAAGGAGTGAAGGTTTGTCCTCACCTCATCACAGATGTGTCTCTAACCCAGTGTGAGCTTGATGATTCTTAATCAACGTGAAATCTGAAGTCTACAGTAAACCTGGAGCTCAGAGCAGCCAGGCTGAGGGTTTGGTGAGAGGATTCAAAAAAAGGAGGGCGTCAAAATGTTCAACACGGAAAAAACGTTTCGGTTCTGAAGCAATATCATAGGTCGACAATCTCTGATCAACTGAAAGAAACCAAAAGTAGCCGAGCTTAAAAACAAACTTCAGATCTTCAGACATGATTTAAACCAAAAAGCTGCAGAAAGAGAGAGAGTGGGAGAGAGAGAGAAAGAAGAGGAGAGAGAGAGAGGGAGAGAGAGAGAGGGAGAGGGAGAGGGAGAGAGAGAGGGAGACAGAGGGGATGCAAAAGTGACTTTTCTGTCTCTGCAGACGGACGGAGAACAGAGGAGGAGACGGAGTTGTTTAGTTTGTCAGAGGCCGTGAACAAAGTAAACATTAAACTCAGTGAATGAGAGCACCCACTGAGAGCATGCTACCATGTTTACATCTTTAGACGCAGCAGTTTGTCTGCAGTTTCCTGGTCATTAGAAACAGGAAATAATCAAACATTGAGTCTCTAATACTTCTGTCTTTGTTGCCGTGGTAACAGATTTCGATTTCGATTTCTATAAAAGATGAATAACTCGCAAATTGCAAAAAGATTCCTCTAAGAGCTCGAGAAAATCAAACTCTGGAACACTTTACTTCAAGAAAATACTTTTTCTATACACCTAATTTATTCTAAATCCTCTGCAGGGATCTTTGAATTTGAACATGGCGGATCATGTAATGCTCCAGAACTTTATACTACCGTCACGACAGAAGCAAAGAAGATGATCATAATTTATCACGTTCGAAGTAAGAATTCAGATTCAGCAAAGATTCTCTCAGATTCTCTGGAGGCTCATTTCTGACTAAACTACTGAAGCCCTGAGAGGACATTCATCCATGCATGATAACGAGCACATTGTGGTTGTTTTCTCCAGATCTCGACTCATTTATGTCTTTTTCTCGGGATATCAACGCTGGTCCTCCCGGGTTAACGAGTTCCAGCTGATCTCAATGAACGGCGTCATTACCCTGAGATCACGAGAATGATGATGATGTCCAGATCTCCAGAAAACGACCAAAATGTACTCGTTACTAGGCAGTAAAAAAGAGCATGGATGTATGTCCACTCTGGGCCTCCATAGAAACACTACTTACACATTTAAAGAGATCAAATTGGTAAAGGGGGCTCAGTCAGCAGGAAGTGCCAAAAGCAACACAAACCGACAGTTCCTTTCAGAAATTCATTTTCTTGAACATTGTTTACAGGATGCTGTTCTCTTCAGGTAACGTGTCACCTTTACTCTCTCCCCCTCTCTACCCCCCTTCCCCCCTGCAGCCCGGGTGTGTGACAATGAGCTCCTTCGTTGCCAAAATGGCGGCGTGTGTGTGAACAACGTCCGCTGTAATTGTCCCTCCACCTACACGGGCGTGCTGTGTGAGAAGTCCCGCTGTGAGTCAGAGCTGGGGGGCTGCGGGGGGGCTGACTCAGGCCACGCCCCCATGACTCCACCCTCCTCCCCCCGGCTGCTGCTGCTGCTGCTGCTGCTGGGCTCTGCGCTGCTGAGAGCGGCCTCCTGCTGAACGGACCAGGACCTGGCGGGAGACATGACCCCGCCCACCTCCTCCACCTTTACCTCCCCCCTCCCCCACTGAAGTACCCATCAAACCTGAACATGAGCTTTGAGGACTGAACCGAGCTGCTCGCCGCTGTACTCTACAGACACTCGAAAAAGGGAATGTGCAGACAAAGAGTGCAAAAACTTTATTTAATTTAAAGAATATATCAAATAAAAAAAACATATACTTCTAAAAATGACAGATATTATAAAAAAAGAGCTTAATAACGAGTAAAAGAGCCCCTCCCCCTCCAAGCCATACAGGTATGAGCTCCTTCCACTTTGAGGAGGGAACATGACAGACTCGCTCACTTCCTCTCTTATTGCCACGGCAACAACAGCTGCGACCAATCAGCTCTCCTGCAGCGGCCGCCGATCTCCCCCTGGGGCGCTTGTGCGAGTTAAAGATGACTGAAGAGACGCCGCAGACGTCTCAGAGACACACAAACATTCAGACACACACGGCATGTTCTTTGCTGTCAGTGCTTTGTGGATTGAAGGAAATCTGTCAGACTGCCTCTTTGTGACACAGAACTCCCCTCCCTCTTTCATCCCCCTCCACATGTCGACCCCCCCACCTCTCTCTAGCTTCTGTCTCCCCTCTTCATCCTCCTCCCCTCCCGCCCTCCCTCATGCTGACACTGACCTGTGCTTTCGTGAACGTTTCTCTGTAAACCCTCGCTGGTTGAAAGATTCTTCTTTTGTCCGATGTTAGTGATGCACATGTGTAAGAAGCCCCTGCCCCTCCCCCTTCCCCCCACCCCTTCCAGAAAGTTCCTCTGATTCTTTTTCTATCTCAGACCAAACACGCTCCCCTCCGTCCAAGGATAGTCTCCACCTGAGCAGACGAGGAGTGTGTAGAAAACCATTGGTGTATTTGCAAGGTCTCTTTGAGGAGCGAGCGCCACAGCGTCATCGAGTCCTTTTGTATCTTTGAACTGTGATAGCAAACAGGCCGCCTTTAATGTGTCTCCTCCAGACGTCACGTTCTTTTCTTTTCTTCTCTTATTTGTTGATCCAACTTTGAGTTGTGCAGTTATTTCCTTTGTATTGGCAACGTGCTGGCATCAAAGAATCTCAGTTTACATCAGCAGTATTAAAGAAGTGTAATAAACTCCCACCAAAGGACATCCGACATGTTTCGTTCTTGCTTTAACACTCGAACATTTAAGTGAATAAAAGTTTAAAAGTGAACCTGTGTCAGTTTGTGTCTCTGACTTTGTTGTTGTGGTTTACCTTCACATGATAAGAGTATAGTGATTTTTATAATCTGACAAATGAATCCAGTTAAAACATTTGTTTAGTTTACCATCCAAGGCCTTTGCACACTGAGTCCGTCGGTAATCCAAAAAAAAAAGTTACGCACCAACACCTAGCACACCGAGTCTGATGGGTTTCATTTTCGATGAATTATGAAAATTTGCAGAATGAGACAAAATGTCTCATACTCATCACGCAGAGAGATCGATCAGTAAAAATGATTTAGTGACTCTTTCACTGTTTTAAAAACAAGAGTGAAGATAGTTTCACCTGTTGATAAAGGAGAGTTTCACCTGTTGATAAAAGAGAGTTTTACCTGTTGATGGAGAGTTTCACCTGTTGATAAAGGAGAATTTTACCTGTTGGAGAGTTTTACCTGTTGATGAAGGAGAGTTTCACCTGTTGATAAAGGAGAGTTTCACCTGTTGATAAAGGAGAGTTTTACCTGTCGATGAAGGAGAGTTTTACCTGTTGATAAAGGAGAGTTTTACCTGTCGATGAAGGAGAGTTTCACCTGTTGATAAAGGAGAGTTTCACCTGTTGATAAAGGAGTTTTACCTGTTGATAAAGGAGAGTTTCACCTGTTGATAAAGGAGAGTTTTACCTGTTGAAGGAGAGTTTCACCTGTTGATAAAGGAGAGTTTCACCTGTTGATAAAGGAGAGTTTTACCTGTTGAAGGAGAGTTTCACCTGTTGATAAAGAGAGTTTTACCTGTTGAAGGAGAGTTTCACCTGTTGATAAAGGAGAGTTTTACCTGTTGATAAAGGAGAGTTTCACCTGTTGATAAAGGAGAGTTTCACCTGTCGATAAAGGAGAGTTTCACCTGCTGATAAAGGAGAGTTTCACATTAAGTGTGTAGGTCCTCCAAATTAATCTGACTTATTTTATACAACTTTCCCAAAAACACTTTGTCATTTGATGCTGATTATAATGTCGATAGAAACAGTTTTCAGTTCAGTTCTAATTAAAATGGTTAAAAAGTTCCATACAATCCAACGTATGGAGTAGAGTGAATGATCCCACATTAAGTCGACTCTAATGGGCTTTAAATGCAGCTCCTCACTTAATTACACAACCTGTAAAGATTCAAGCTTTTAGATTTCAACTGCATCTTTTTTTTATGATGGTGTTTAAGAGAATATTGAACTCTTTAAAAGTGAAGTCTCTAAGGAACGATGTTCATCATATTGTCAGATGTCCCATCATGCATTGTGAGTGGATATAAAGTAAACAGACTTGATGAAAATGTGCTGCATGTCTGTAAAACACGTCAAAATGCTTAAATCTGATGTTAAAAACATGGAGACCACAGACATTAGGACGGTTTCTAACATTATAATCCTCTGGACACACACACGAGACAACCACGAGACCTCACACCTGCTGTTTGTAGGAACGACTCCACAGACACAAGATTTCACAGAATCTCAAGTGATCAAACGTGACTTCAGAAGACAAACAAAGATGGAGGACGATGGTCGTGGTCAGCTGGAAGTGTGGTTTCATGAGATATTATAAAGACACTTGTGTTGTTGCCATGGTTACACAAGCTCCTCTTCTTCCATTTTCCACTCGGCTCGGGGCTCAGGTGTGTTTATGTTTTCTGACAGGTTTGTGAGCTGTAGAAGTGTTGATGACACAGAAAGGTTTACAGACCGATGCAGAGCTGGCTAAACACTGAAGCTTCGGAGTCCACCACATGGCAACCTGCGTGAGCATGGACTCTAGAGAGGGGGGGGGGGGGGGGGGGGACAGCTCTCTACAATGTTTAGACTGCAGTACCCATTTTAAACACTAGGTGTCAGAGTTACATATTGCTTCTTTAAAGTGGGTTACAGAAGTTATAACACAAAGACAAAAAAAAATCTGACTTAAGTCGTGAGAATTACATACAGTTATAATTTAAGAGACAATTTATTCAAAGTGTTCGTCCTGAAGAAGAAAGCCAGGTCGTCGCTCTACATAACATGTTTTCTTCTTCTCTTTGTAAAGTACAAGCAGGAACATTGAGAGGAAATAGTCTATAATAGTCATAATATAATAGTCTATAATAGTCCGCAGTTTTTTTACTGAAGAAAATAACTTTTCTCTAAAACAAAGCAGCTATTAGTGAAACAATCGATGTTCCTGAGTTTCAAACTTTTCAGAGTGTGCAGCTGTGGTTTGAATATTTCAGCGTATGGATGAACTGTCGGCTGCCTGACAGCAGACACTATGTAAACTTTGAACACCAGCTCTCAGGGAGACATCGATACTCGTAAATATTTAATTCACTGCCTCCGACAATGCACGCCACTGAACCAAATCTTTAGCAGATTGAATTTGAGATAAATGGCACGGAAATATCTCCAGAGCTGATACACACATTTTCTACGCTGTGGTCGTGTCAGAGAAGCCTCTGAGGTTTCTGTTCATCTGATCACATCATATTCTGTGTGTCAGCACTTCTTTAGTCCCTTATGCACACATGTTAATAAGATGAATGTCTTCAAATGTCTGAATTATTATAGAAGTCACTATAAATGAATTCATCTTCAAAAGAATAAGAGAGGAGTCCTGCAGAGAGAGTTTCTGTGGAGAAAGAACATTTACACTTTGAGTCCTCATATCATAAGCACACAAACTTTAAAAGGACATGTTTTATGGAATATATACTTAGGGTGTGTAAGTGACTTCCTGTGCTTCTGCAGCCAGCCTCTAGTGGACACTCGAGAAACTGCAGGATTTTACACTTATGCATCAGCTTCATTTTTCAACAGCGGAGGTTGCTGCTTGGTCTGAATAGAAAAGCTTTAACTAGAGAGGTAATGGATGTGTCTTTGAATCTGTGCTGTTATTAGCTGGTATAATAAAAGTCAATGTCACTCACAGGCCACCGTAGCTCAAGGCACAGGTATTTTATTAAAGGTGAGAGATGAATACAGCAACTCTTTCTTTAGACCTCCAACTTTTTTCACAAATTTGACACCTGCAAGATATTTGACTAAACACTGCACAGAATCCAACGTGAGGAAACTGAGATTTTAAGACGGTGAACATGGATGTGTTCTGATAGTGAACGCTGATGTGTTCTGATAGTGAACATGTGTTTTGATAGTGAACATGTGTTCTGATAGTGAAATGTGTTCTAATAGTAAACATGTGTTCTAATAGTGAACGTTGATGTGTTCTGATAGTGAACATTGATGTGTTCCGATAGTGAACATGTGTTCTGATAGTGAACATGTGTTCTGATAGTGATGGTTGATGTGTTCTGATAGTGAACGCAGATTTTTTTTCTGATAGTGAACATGTGTTCTGATAGTGAACGCTGATGTGTTCTGATAGTGAACATTGATGTGTTCTGATAGTGAACGCTGATGTGCTCTGATAGTGAACATGTGTTCTGATAGTGAACGCTGATTTGTTCTGATAGTGAATGCTGATGTGTTCTGATAGTGAACGTTGATGTGTTCTGATAGTGAACATGTGTTCTGATAGTGAACGCTGATGTGTTCTGATAGTGAACATTGATGTATTCTGATAGGGAACGTTGATGTGTTCTGATAGTGAATGTTTATGTGTTCTGATAGGGAACGCTGATGTGTTCTGATAGTGAACATGTGTTATGATAGTGAATGTTCATGTGTTCTGATATTCTGCGTCAGAGCAGGAAGCTCAGGTTCAAACGTCGACTCAGGATGGCGGTATTGACCCCCGGCAGCGCTCTTCTTCCCGCTCATCGTCTGATGTGTTTGTTAGTGTGTGGATCGATGCTCTTATTGACCCGAGAAGCTCTCATTGATCAGTGTTTCTTTCTGCTGAGTGCTCTCTGAAAACAGTCGTATTCAGTCTCTGTCCATTAAAGGATGTAAAAGCTGCTCCTCACAGAGAAAACTTAACTGAAATATTTCATTCTTTTCTTCACAAAAATGTTTCTTTATAGGTTATACAATATTTCTGTCTCTCCTCCAGCCCACATCTTTCCTTTAAATCACCTCTCGCATTAGCCTTGTAATCTCACTGCTCAGATAATGAACACTTTCAAGGCCTCATTTTTCAAAGCTACACATTCCTTTGGAGACCGCCACACCTGAGAGTTTCCACAACAATGTTAGCGAGGTAAGAGGTCTCCCTGCTGCTGGTTACCTGTTACACATGCAGCACTAAGCTGTTGTATGACTGTGTTTCTTTAGGGAAATGTAGTATTTTCAGTTTCTGTAATTAGAAACACTGTTAAACATCATTGTCATGAATTTGATTTGTCCATTCTTCTTAATGTACAGAATGATCTCTGCTTGTGTTGTACACATTACAACATGCGGCTCAATCAGACCACAAAGACAATAGATTCCTTTTTTTTTATATATATAAAGGTTGTTGTTTGTTTTTTTAATATCATTTTTATTGACATATTTTGATAAAAACATAAACAAACAAAAGACCTCATAACCCGAACCCTAGGATGCACACACCTACAATCACACTCACATATTTACACCCTGGAGGAGAGGAACAGATACAAATAAAAGATTCATCGAAACCCTGATTCAAGGACCAAAGCATACATAGCATTATTTATTATTTCAAAATCCAAGCAGCTATGGTCTGAGAGAATTCTGTATTTGCTGCAGCATCATGATTTGTTATGCAGGTTGTGTCGGACCTCTTCCCAGATACAAAAAGATTTATGACATATTTGAGATATTTCTCTTCTCTGCATGCAGCACTGTATCTGTGCAGGCCTGAAAAAAATGAAAGGTTTGTTCATTACGTTGTGATTCACATGCATCAGCACAGTCTGTTTACTGAGCTCACGTCGGCAGAGTGAGACAACACATGGGAGGAAAGTGACGGAGGAGGTGACATCTTGTTGAAGACTCACAGTTA